CCAGTACTGAGTCGATGTGCAGGGGTATGAGGTAATTGAGGTAGATATGTACATATAACCAGGAATAAAGTGACAGATAGTAAACAGTAGCAGCAGCGTATGTGATGAGTCAAAAAAGTTTGTGCAAAAAGGGTAAACGCAGATAGTCCAGGTAGCTATTTGGTTAACTATTTAACTACATATACACATACATTTCCTTTAAAAAAATATATTTCCCTTTATTACCTTCCAACCCCACCACCCCTTCCCTAATTGGAGTAAACTAGTGAACAACAATGCTTAGGCCTCTACTTCCAGCTTATACATACTATATACACTGCTCAAAAAAATAAAGGGAACACTAAAATAACACATCCTAGATCTGATTGAATGAAATAATCTTATTAAATATTTTTTTCTTTACATAGTTGAATGTGCTGACAACAAAATCACACAAAAATTATCAATGGAAATCAAATGTATCAACCCATGGAGGTCTGGATTTGGAGTCACCCTCAAAATTAAAGCGGAAAACCACACTACAGGCTGATCCAACTTTGATGTAATGTCCTTAAAACAAGTCAAAATGAGGCTCAGTAGTGTGTGTGGCCTCCACGTGCCTGTATGGCCTCCCTACAACGCCTGGGCATGCTCCTGATGAGGTGGCCGATGGTCTCCTGAGGGATCTCCTCCCAGACCTGGACTAAAGCATCCGCCAACTCCTGGACAGTCTGTGGTGCAACGTGGCGTTGGTGGATGGAGCGAGACATGATGTCCCAGATGTGCTCATTTGGATTCAGGTCTGGGGAACGGGCGGTCCATAGCATCAATGCCTTCCTCTTGCAGGAACTGCTGACACACTCCAGCCACATGAGGTCTAGCATTGTCTTGCATTAGGAGGAACCCAGGGCCAACCGCACCAGCATATGGTCTCACAAGGGGTCTGAGGATCTCATCTCGGTACCTAATGGCAGTCAGGCTACCTCTGGCGAGCACATGGAGGGCTGTGTAGCCCCCCAAAGAAATGCCACCCCACACCATGACTGACCCACCGCCAAACCGGTCATGCTGGAGGATGTTGCAGGCAGCAGAACGTTCTCCACAGCGTCTCCAGACTCTGTCACGTCTGTCACATGTGCTCAGTGTTAACCTGCTTTCATCTGTGAAGAGCACAGGGCGCCAGTGGCGAATTTGACAATCTTGGTGTTCTCTGGCAAATGCCAAACGTCCTGCACGGTGTTGGGCTGTAAGCAAAACCCCCACCTGTGGACGTCGGGCCCTCATACCACCCTCATGGAGTCTGTTTCTGACCGTTTGAGCAGACACATGCACATTTGTGGCCTGCTGGAGGTCATTTTGCAGGGCTCTGGCAGTGCTCCTCCTGCTCCTCCTTGCACAAAGGCGGAGGTAGCAGTCCTGCTGCTGGGTTGTTGCCCTCCTACGGCCTCCTCCACGTCTCCTGATGTACTGGCCTGTCTCCTGGTAGCGCCTCCATGCTCTGGATACTACGCTGACAGACACAGCAAACCTTCTTGCCACAGCTCGCATTGATGTGCCATCCTGGATGAGCTGCACTACCTGAGCCACTTGTGTGGGTTGTAGACTCCGTCTCATGCTACCACTAGAGTGAAAGCACCGCCAGCATTCAAAAGTGACCAAAACATCAGCCAGGAAGCATAGGAACTGAGAAGTGGTCTGTGGTCACCACCTGCAAAACCAGTCCTTTATTGGGGGGGTCTTGCTAATTGCCTATAATTTCCACCTGTTGTCTATTCCATTTGCACAACAGCATGTGAAATTTATTGTCAATCAGTGTTGCTTCCTAAGTGGACAGTTTGATTTCACAGAAGTGTGATTGACTTGGAGTTACATTGTGTTGTTTAAGTGTTCCCTTTATTTTTTTGAGCAGTGTACATTTTATGGACACAGTCAATTTTACAATAATTATATTTTGTTAGTTTTTACTCCTGAACTTCCTCTACCCTCAACCTCTCCGATCCTTTTCATGATGTCCATCCGGTTTGCTTCTATATGCCATATCTTTCTAACTGGGCTCTTTCACAAAAGCTCTCAACCTATAACCTATATACTTATTATGGACACAGTATGCTTACATTATTAGTTATCTTGTTGTTATTAGTTGTTGTTAGTTGTTATTAGTCCCATCCTTCAACTCCATTCAACACCACCCATCTATCTCTTAACACCATCCATATTGGATTTCTATTTGCCATATCTTTTTCAACTGTACTGTGATGTTTTACAAAAGTTCTGAACCTTTCTATTCTCATAATCCTTGATAGTTTGCAAGCCCTGCCACATCTGACGAGCGTCAGAGCCGATGTAGTAGGATTTGGTGTTAGTCCTGTACTGAAGCTTTGCCTGTTTGATGGTTCATAATGTGTCACATAAGTGTCAACCTTGTGACACTCTTCTTTTCCCAATGAATGCAATGTATTGACATAAGCATCGACACGTGTGACACTCTTCTTTTCCTATTGAATGCAATGTATTGACATACAGTGTCAACCTTGTGACACTCATCTTATACCATTGAATGCAATTTATTGACATAAGCATAAATTGGTAGACACTAATCTTTTCTCATTAACTGCAAATGCATTGACATAAGCATCAGCCTTGTGACGCTCTTCTTTTCCCATTGAATGCAATGTATTGACATAAGTGTCAACCCCTGTGACACTCATCTTTTCCTATTGAATGCAATGTATTGACCTAAGCTTCAATTGGTTGAAAAAAAATATTTTCTGATTGAATGCAATGTATTGACATACAGTGTCAACCCTGTGACACTCATATTTTACCATTGAAAGTAATGTATTGACATAAGCATCAATTGGTTGACACATCTTTTCTCATTGACTGCAAATGCATTGACATAAGCATCAACCTTGTGACATTCATCTTTTTCCATTGAATGTAATGTATTAATATAAGCATCAATTGGTTGACACTCATCTTTTCCCACTGACTGCAATGTACTGACAAAAGCATCAAGTGGAGCCTGGCCAATTGACATAATCTTCAAGTGGTTGAAATCTAACTTTTTGAAATAACGTGACAGGATGAAGTTTATCTATGATATCATGTTGCCAGCCATGGCTCAAAAACTACCTGTAATCACAAGCACAATAAAGAGAAGAGAGAGAAGGGTTCATAGACCACTGATATGCAGCAGTCCTAAACCAGCCCTAGTCTGGGTGCAGTGTGTGTGTTTGCTAGGTTTTATACAGAAGTGGAACAAACTGCAACGCTTGCAGGATTGTGCAGATTACATACAATTTATGATTCAAAGGTCCCCAGCTAGCCCAAAAGGAATTGTCAGCACTTTTTATAAAGCTAGCTAGCTAGTTCATCTTGTACATTTTCAGTTGAAACTTTATAGGGTGAGGTCAGCGTACTTTTCATTAAATACAAACCCCATTGCATTTTTTATTTAAATACTTCTAGTAAGTTGAACTCAGTCAATGAAAAGTCATTACTACTTAAAATGTTTATGTGGTACTGACTCAAAACTAAATGAGAAGTCACATCAACTAAGATTTTGTAAAGTTATGATAACAAACTAACTTTTTTCCCAGCACGCTCTACTGCAGGTACATTTTTTTGGAATTGTTTTTAATATCTCTGTTTTTGCATGTACATTGAGTGACTGATTGCTTAATCTTATGATACACAAAGATAAATAACATACATTTTTCTAAACCAATCCAATTATTTAGTTAGATTTTTTGCACCCCCATTATTGAAATGGCTGTTCCAGTTTAAAAGGTTTAGGTAATCTCCACACACCATTCTTAACCTTGGCAGTCATTATGAATGTAGATTATGGGTGAATAAAAATGTATCATGTTTTATAGTCAAACTCTGGCTGGATTCCAATAGGAATTACACATCACTTTGCAAGCCAGCATAATGTGACTTGCCGGTAAGGTTGCAAAATTCTGGTACATTTCCCAGGTTTTCCAAAAATCCTGGTTGGAAGAGTCCTGGAAATCCTTCAACCAGGATATTTTGAAGATCTGGGAATTTTGGGGAAGTTACAGGAGTGTTGCAACCCTACTTGCAGGCCTAATGTGGCCTGTAAACAATGAGTTTTTGGTATATGAACACTGTTCAACTGACGTCAGCCTGCAGGCACCCGCCCCCCCCCCGCCAAACCCGAATGACGCTGGGCTATGTAAACCACCCCCTTCTGCGAACATGCCTTCTGTGATGTTGGTTACAAGGCGGTACTTATTTAAATTAGGTAAGATAATAAGATGTAACCATTGGTGTATTAAAATTAGGCTTTTTGTGATTTCACAAAAATCACTTAATAATCCCACCTCCATCCCGCCTCCTAATCCAAGTGTTTGACATGGTGAGGGGACCAGTAACTTTGATGAAACTTTATCAATGTAGAACCAACAGTAATATGTCATACTTTGGTAGTCCTACTTTGATCTGGTTTCATCCAAATTTCATCCAATTTCATGAAAAACATGATAAATGTCAAATGTATTATTATTGATTATTTAATAGTCCCCCATTAGCTTATGTAGGTAGAGGAAGACTAAGGAACAATCGACAGCAGAACCAGCAATACACACATAATACAATCCTCCAGGAAAGAAATATGTTTGATTAAATTATTATAGTCAAGTCAAGTATATACAAAGACATTAAATGGAAAAGTATATCAAAGCTAGTGTCAATATTATAGTTGATAGATTTTATGATAGATTTATCAAAATATTTCTACACTATGTAACATGTAATGAATTAGTGTTTATTTATTGGCAGTTAGACTAGTTGCAGTAAATTAGATTTCATACATTCAAAAGAAAGAAAATAAAACTATCAACGTTTGACAACATTACAATTTTCACAAATGTTTGTGAGCAGCTTTAGCATCAAAATATTGCACACAACTTATTGAACATATTACTTAGTACACAAATCATTATGACATTGTTATTGCTAAATTGCTAGATTATAAATTATATCAGTCAAGATCATCTTGGATTCCGGTTGGCATCCCGGAGAGACTCAATAATGGCATATTGCACGTTCAATGTGTCGGTTTGGTGGATATTCTGTGGACCAAAGAAACATATTTAAGTGTGTGTGTGTGTGTGTGTGTGTGTGTCTGTGTCTGTGTGTGTGTGTGAGTGTGTGTAGCCTACCGTGTAGTCCTCGGCATAGTAGCAGTGTCTTAGGTTCAAATGTCTGATGAAGTTCCTGCTGATTTGGTTTGGGTTACCGTGTGGCAGAGAGACACACACCGGGCACACCTAGAGGGCACCAGAGAGCAACAATCACTCAAAGCAACAAAGTTTCAGCCCAAGTGGCCAACAACTCCCTAGAACTAGAGACTGGGGACTCCCTGGAGGCAGTGACAATTGTTACTAAGGGGACTATCATGGTTAAACAACACAAAATAAAACTAAATTATATTTCAGCAACTGACAACTTATAACAGATGTATCACTGACCACGGGCCTGTTGTCATAGTGATGGATGTCATTGCAGTGATCCACCAGATCCTGCTCATTCAGACCCCTCTCCTGGCAGATCGGACAGACAAACGTCCTCACTGCAGCACTGAGAGAGAAGTGGGGGGTGGGGGGGGGGGGTGGGGGGGGGGGGGGCAGAGAGAGAGATAAACAGACAAAGATAAACACAGAGAGAGTGAGCATTAGAGAAAAAAAATACGAAAAAATGTAATACTGTCACACTATCAGGTAACATTTTTAATGATGAGTCTGCAGCAGAGGAGGCTGGTTGGAGGAGCTATAGGAGAACAGGCTCATTGTAGTGGCTGGAATGGAATTCATGGAACGGTATCAAACACAGATATATGGAAACCACATGGTTGACTCCGTTCCATTGATTCCATTCCAGCCATTACAATGAGCCCATCCTCCTATAGCGCCTCCCACCAGCCTCATCTGGTCTGTAGTAGTCTACAATGAGAAGCAAATGTATAAGAATCTAACATACTTTAATCACCACAGACAAGCACACTAATGAGAACACACATACCAATGGTGACTTACTCATCATCAGTGAAGGAGAGGGAAGGTGGATTGCGAAAATTCAGCCCTACAGTAATGACTGTGAATTAGCCAGTACAGGAGGAGCTAATGTAGAGGGCATGGAGGTGGGTCTTTGAGCTGGGGAGGGTGTGCTGAGGAATGGCCAATGGCTGTGGTCCTGGGGCGCAGCGAGTCCTGGGGTCGGGTTAGGTGTGGTAATAGGTACCGGTGCAGTAGGGGAAGCCACAGAGGAAAGAGAGGGGGCAGATGTTCGGGCCATAGTCATGCATGCACCATTGGTAGGGGCAGGAGGACTGATGGTAGGTGTGATGGCAGGTGTGGTGGTTGGTGTTTGTGAAGTAGGGGCAGCAAGAGGAGTAACAGATGTATGGGTCATAGACATATATAGGTCATCGGCTGGGGCAGGGGGAGTGATGGAGGAGGAAGGTTTGGGGAAGAATCTTGGGGTGGGAAGGGGAGGGGCTGTAGTGACTCTGTAGCTGGGCTCTGATTGGCCATGCTCCTTCCTGTTGCCTGAGTAGCTATTTGTAGTAGTCTGCTCCGGCAAAAAAAAAAATACGGAGGTATGCAATCAGTCAACATTTAGGTCCTTATTGAAACTGTCAGTGCATTCATTGTAACCCTCTGAATATGATGCTTAGATCACAGGAGGTTGGTGGCACCTTAATTTGGGAGGACGGGATTGTGGTAATAGCTGGAGCAGAATCAGTAGAATGGTATCAAATACATCAAACACATGGTTTCCATGTGTTTGATGCCATTCCATTTGCTCCGTTCCAGCAATTATTATGAGCCATCCTCCCCTCAGCAGCCTCCTGTGGTTTAGAAACGTAATGTACTCCAAGGGTCTCTACATGGTTCTGCTGTATTTGGCTCTGTGGGTTTGGCTGTGTCTAGACCAGTCACTCACTCACCTCTGGATATCCCCTGTCACAGGTCTAGTTGCTGGGGTGGAAAGCCCCAACAAGCCAGGGAGAGGTTGACCCAACCTGACGACTGTGGTCCTCGTCTGGACTCTGAAAGTGACATCAGTGGCACCAGCAGGCATTATGTCATCAACCCGCGCCTTAGCTCTGCACACAGGGCAGTGGGGTAACCACTTTAAAGAACACGTCAGACATAGTCGGCAGAACCTGCAACACACACACACACACACACACACACAGTGCATCATTCAATTAAATGCATAAGCAACATGCATCATTGTGGTAATGGTCCACTGATACAGTGGGCACATTCTTCAGTCATGAAGTATACACTTACAGGAAGAATCAAACCTGCAAGAACCTATTTCCTAACACTGCAGCTATGTCATAAATCCAGACTACAGTGATCATAACATTGAAAGGAAAAGGCTAAAGTACTCTCATCCAATTCTCAGAAGAGGAATTGCCATATAAGTATAATATTTGGTACAGTCAGGGGATTTTTCTGTGGTGTGAGGGAAGATTCCCCTCATGTAAAGACACACTATCACTTTCGCCAAAGGTTGGCAACTTGTTATTGTTATTTACCAGCAGTGGAAGGTGTGGAGGAAGTAAAGAACCTGTTTATTACTTAGAGTATAAAGTCATTCGTCAAATCATAGCATATCATCTTTGACAAGACATCCATAAAATAAACTGTAGTCTACTTTGCAAACAATTTGATGTCAAGCTCATCTCAGTAGTTTATCATATTACTCAAGAAACATCAATGTTGAGTTTGTACACAGATACTATTGTCTTTGCACTGTGCTGATGGTCTTTATTGACAAAAATAGAGAATTCATAGAAAACGTATTTGAGGGAGTTCAGACACTGAATTAATTATATTAGGGAGAATGACCTATTTGGGGTTAGAGACAGTTATAGCCATCAGCTCTGGGAGCTCACAGCTCACTGCTACAGTGTAGCTTCTGTGTAAAAGTGAACCTACTTCAATTACTCAATACTCAAATACTCAATTTAAACAGAAAGACCAGGCTACAAATTAAGTTACAAATTAGGCTACAAGCTGTGGTATAACACTAGATAATATGACAATAAAAAGGAGGTTACTCACACATGAGAACAGGCAGCAGGGTGATGTGGGTCCGTCAGGGTGCTCATACAGATGGGACACTCATCCTCAAATGTGGTCTGTAGGCCTGCTGCAGAGTGGGCCATACTTGGGTTGGTACAGATTCTCTCTCCAAGAGAGCCCGGGACAGAGTACACTACAGTCTCCCCTGGGGCAGGAGTGGTGTGTGTGAGGCAGCTACTGTACTGCCTTGCTAAAAAATACCTGGCTGGCTACTTCCCTACCTCAGAGCACAGCCTCTTACCTACAGACCCAGCCCGTAGGAGGGAAACTCCAATCAAACAGCTGACTTTGTTCTTTAGTCCCAGCCCAGGGACTTTCTGGACTGTCTTTACTGAAAGCAAACTCACTTTCCGGGAGAGGGTGTGTGTTTGTGTGTGTGTGTGACAACCAGGTTCTCAGGATAAGGCATGACAATGAAGACTTGAACTGGGTAGTCGGTATCCAGGAAGGTACATCACACAGTAGTACAAAAATATATAACAGCTTTTATTAAAAGGGGCAATGTGCAGTTCCTACATCCATTTTGTTGACTTATAAATTAATGATATGTACCCATTGTACCCATGGACTTCAAGAATATAACTTAGAAATGCTTCATGAGCTTAGTTCAACTGTAGTACCCCATCTGAAACCAAAATATAAGCTTGTTTTAAAATGGAAACAAACACTGTTTAGCCTCAAAATGGTTAAAACTATACTTTTGATATCATGGATGGTCAGTCATTGCATCCATAGCACTGTCTATGAATTTGAGAGTGGTTACATTTCTCTAGCCAAATCCCTCAACTGTTTATCAATAACAGTGGCGGGGAACACGCTTTGTTATTGTTTCAACTGCTGATTGGCACTTTAAAAAATGAATATTAAAATAGTACACAAGCTGACAAAACATAAGCATTACCTTGTTGGCTGTCTTTAAGTCCAGACAGCCAAACACAAATTGTACTCATTGCAGGATACTTACAGCTAACACATTAACACAAACACACAGAAACTGGATAGAAGAGGAGAATGGCGCTGCAATTGATAGCTCACGTTTTACAGGCTCCTGACCAATTCTGCTGTTTTGTGTGTTTTCTTGTACATAATGTTTCCGCCATTGTTTCCTATGACCTAAAATAGCTTCTGGACATCAGAACAGCGATCACTAACCTCGATTTGGATGAACATTTCTACTTCAACGAGTTGGCGGCGCAGTACATACTGCTCACCCCGGACCAGGCCCTAATCTCAGAGACTTGGAAAAGGAAGAGACGGCGTAAGAGAGGCTGACATGCGGGCACCCTGACGAAATGACATTGGCAAATAAATAATCCGCCTCTACCCTCCATTTTATTGGCGAATATACAATCACTGGTGAACAAACTGGACGGGCGCCGTTCGAGACTATCCTATCAACGGGACCTGAAGAACTGTAATATCTTATGCTTCTCGGAGTCGTGGTTGAACAAGGACATGGATCATATACACTTGCCCATTCGCCCTGTTAGTAACACTATCAACGTTTCCCTATACTGTGGCAATTGTAGTCGAGTCATGGTGTTAGCAGTGTCATGCTGTGGGGATGTTTTTCAGCGGCAGGGACTGGGAGACTAGTCAGGAAAAAGGGAAAGATTAAGTACAGAAAGATCCTTGATGAAAACCTGCTCCAGAGCGCTCAGGACCTCAGACTGGGGGGAAGGTTCACCTTCTAACAGGACAACGACCCTAAGCACATAGCCAAGACAACGCAGGAGTGGCTTTGGGACAAGTATCTGAATGTCCTTGAGTTGCCTAGCCAGAGCCCGAAATTGAACCCGATCAAACATCTCTGGAGAGACCTGAAAATAGCTGTGCAGCGACGCTCCCCATCCAACCTGACAGACCTTGAGAGGATGGGAGCAACTCCTCAAATACAGATGTGCCAAGATTGTAGCGTCATACCCAAGAAGACTCGAGGCTGTAATCGCTGCCAAAGGTGCTTCAAGAAAGTACTGAGTAAAGGGTCTGAATACTTATGTAATGTGATATTTCAGTTTTAATTTTTTTATAAATTTGAAAAAAATTCTAAAATCCAGTTTTTGCTTTGTCATTACGGGTATTGTGTGTAAATTGATGAGAAAAAAACAATTGAATCCATTTTAAATACAGGATGTAATGTAACAAAATGTGGAAAAAGTAAAGGGGTCTGAATACTTTCCGAAGTCTAGTATAAAAAATAAAAAATAAAATAGTTATTTCCATTTCCCCTGAAAACTGGAACATCCGGTTGTTGCGGACTCAGCAGAGGCTAGGCAGCAGGTAGCCTAGAGGTTAGAGAGGCGAGTCAGCATCCGGAGGGTTGCCAGTTTGAATCTCATGTCCGACGGGAAAAGTCTGACGTGAAGTGAGCTGGCAACCGGAGTGAGTTCACAAAAATTTACTGAAAGGAACCAAGTGTGAAAACAACCAAAGAGATTAAAGGGGCTTTCACACCAAATTGGTTTGGTGTGTTTTTTCTAAACTGTTGCATTTACCCCCGGGTTCGTTTGGACTGGTGTGAACACTATCTGCACTCGGGAGCTCACTAAACAACTCACTGTGATTTGTTCAAAAAGAGTGGTCTCGGGCTGATTCCATTTGTACCGTGGTGCGGTTTGCTGCAGGTGAGAATGCAGTCCGGACCAAACACAGGAAAAGAACCAGATGCGAGCAGTATTATTGGTTGTTTGACTGTGAGCATTTGATGAAATGCACGCAGCATCATAACTTGATATCTATGAAACATTATGTGAGTAGTAGCGCACTTATGAGCGCATCTGAAGCAGATTAGGGGAGACGGGGGCTATACTGGCGGGGATATATCAATGCTGTATCATTGGGATATACACTGAGTGTACAAAACATTAGGAACACCATCCTAATATTGAATTGCACCCCATTTTGCCCTCAGAACAGGCTCTATTCGTCGGGGCATGGACTCTACAAGGTGCCGGAAATGTTCCACAGGGATGCTGGCCTATGTTGACTCCAATGCTTCCAACAGTTGTGTCCAGTTGGCTGGATGTCATTTGGGTGGTGGACCATTCTTGATACATACGGGAAACTGTTGAGTGTGAAACACTCAGAAGCGTTGCAGTTCTTGACACACTCAAACCGGTACGCCTGGCACCTACTGGCAGGTAGCTTAGTGGTTAAGAGCGTTGTGCCAATAACCGAAAGGTTGCTGGTTCTAATCCCCGAGCCGACTAGGTGAAAAATCTGTCGATGTGCCCTTGAGCAAGGCACTAACCCTAATTGCTCCTGTAAGTCACTCTGGATAAGAGCGTCTGCTAAATGACTAAAAATGTAAACTGTAATAGGCACTTCAATCGTTTGTCTTGTCCATTCACCCTCTGCACACATACACAATCTATGTCTCAAGGCTTTAAAATCCTTCTTTAACCTGTCTCCCACCCCCTTCATCTACATTAGGAACATGACATCTGAGGTGCAGTTAACTTTAATGAACTTATCCTCTGCAGCAGAGGTAACTCTGGGTCTTCCTTTCCTGTGGCGGTCCTCATGAGAGCCAGTTTCATCATAGCGCTTGATGGTTTTTGCAACTGTACTTAAAGAAACTTTCAAAGTTCTTGAAATTTTCCGGATTGACTGACCTTCATGTCTTAAAGTAATGATGGACTGTCGTTTCACTTTGCTTATTTGAGCTGTTCTTGCCATAATACGGACTTGGTCATTTACCAAATAGGGCTATCTTCTGTATACCACCCCTACCTTGTCACAACCCAACTGATTGGCTCAAACGCATTAAGAAGGAAAGAAATTCCACAAATTCACTCTTAACAAGGCACACCTGTTAATTGAAATGCATTCCAGGTGACTACCTCATGAAGCTGGTTGAGAGAATGCCAAGAGTGTGCAAAGCTGTCATCAAGGCAAAGGGTGTCTATTTAAAGAATCTAAAATCTAAAATATATTTTGATTTGTTTAACACTTTTTTGGTTACTACATGATTCCATATGTGTTAATTCATAGTATTAATATCTTCACTATTATTGTACAATGTAGAAAATTGTAAAAATAAAGAAAACCCTTGAATGAGTAGGTGTGTCCAAACTTTTGACTGGTACTGTATGTAATCAAATAAACAGCTAAATGTTATTTATAGATTTGTTTGTTCCTTGTTCCAATGATTTAATGATTGACAGTTACTGTAGTGTGTCATGTGCCCAGTCCAAATTGGCCTAGGTCAGTGAGTAAGCCACTTCCACAACTTTTACAACCTTAAGCGCTTTAACCTGTAGTCTATATAATTGTGGATAGGCTCAATAACATGAAACTGATCACCACAAGCTTCAGTGCCTAGGATCTTAGACAACATAACCACTCGATTTTACAGGAAAGCATGATTGTTATTCGATATTCCATTATAGAGGCATTTAATGATGTGCAGGCAGCTGTGGTCTGGTGGAATTCGTGCGTCATGACCAATGATCTACACAGTAGTCATGACCCATTGAGAACTGTTTCTAGTTTGGCCTATTTCAGGATCTGAACACTTCTGATAAGACTATAAACTACATCAATAATTAGGTATGATATAAAAACTGAGCTCTGTACAAGGACCTATGAGCATATGATGTCCTTTGAAACTTTCCAATGCGCTATCGAGCGTTTAAGACTTGACTCTCCGGTCTGTCCTGGACTGCGTCACCACCTTCAGTGACAGTCCCGGGGAAAAGTGCCTCACAGTTCGACAACTAAGTTGGAAATTCTATTAGGCTATGGTTTACAATGTTTATTAATCAGAATATGTAGGCTACCATGCCGTTACAATCAGTGCTTAATTTGTCAATTGGGAGGTGCATTGCATTTGCGTAGTGGCAGGGGTGGAAAAAGTACCCAATTGTCATACTCGAGTAAAAGTAAAGATACCTTAATAGAACATGACTCAAGTAAAAGTGAAAGTACCCAGTAAAATACTACTTGAGGAAAAGTCTAAAAGTATTTGGTTGTAAATATACTTAAGTATCAAACGTAAATGTAATTGCAAAAATATACTTAAGTATCAAAAGTAAAAGTATAAATAATTTATAATTACTTATATTAGGCAAACCAAATGGCACAATTTTCTTGTTTTTAAATTTAAGGACAGTCAAGGGCACACTCCAACACTCAGCCATAATTTACAAATGAACAGTAGCGGTGAGTGGGTAATAT